GTTAAACCAATAACTAAATTTTTAGTCTTCATTCTTTAGTGGCAGATGCGATGCTTGCAAACATATTAATATCACTTATTGTTAAGGTATTTCTTCCGCCTTCCTAGCGTGCCTTCGTGGTGTAGTGGTCAGCACACTAAGCCGGTATTTCAGAGGTCCGTGATTCGATTCCCAGCGAAGGCGGGTGCTAATTTTTCATCTCTTCTGCTTCCAAAATACCTAATGTCTCTACAAGTGGCGCCCGAACTAAAAGGGTGTTAGATGATGATTCTCCTCACCCAGGATTTGGCGATTGGGTCACCTAAAAACCCCAGTCCCCCTTTAAAAGGGGGACTATATAAGGTATTTCTCCCACCTTCGTAGCATGCCTTCGTGGTGTAGTGGTCAGCACACTGAGCCGGTTTTTCAGAGGTCCGTGGTTCGATTCCCGGCGAAGGCGGTAGCTCATTTTTCATCTCTCCGGCTTTTCCAATTAACCTAATGTCTCTACAGTGGCGCCTGAACTAGGAGGGTGTTGGATGAGGATTTTCCACACCCACGATTTCGCGATTTGGTTTCCTAAAAGCCCAGTCGCCCCTTGAAAAAGGGAAGTATATAAGGTATTTCTCTCCCACCTTCTCAGCGTGCCCTTCGTGGTGTAGTTGTTCTGCACGCTGGGCCGGTATTCCAGAGGTCCGTGGTTCGATTCCCGGCGAAAGCGTTTGCTAATTTTTCATTTCTCCGGCTTTTCCAATTAACCTAATGTCTCTACAAAGTATAAAACTAGTTTATATATTTCAGCTATATGTTACTTATAATAGAACATCATCGAAAAAAAATGCATTGAATAATGCACTGAATATAAAAACATAGTACTCCAAATCTATTTAACACAATAAAAAGATTCAGACTGGCGAAGTAATGTGACATAAAATGTAGTTGAGTTCTAATGACTTGGTTCAGAGATGTAGAACCAATCATTTCCGGTCTTCCCTAGCATCGCAGAAAATGCATACTCAGGTGTATTTTATAAGCATAAGCCATAAATATATAGTAGTCACTATGTCCAGCAACAGTGCGTACAACTGCATTATTCAACGGACTAAAATTTAAGAGTTTCGAAGTCTATTGTGCAACAAATGGAACAACTATGAAGGCTAACTGCAATAATAATGCCGACTTGCGTTATATGCAATTTACGTACATTCAGTTACATGTGCGTTAAAACTTTAACATTAAAACTGAATCCTACCAATTAGAAATACGAAGAACGCTGTAAAGTTGTAGAGACATTAGGATTTTTTTGGAAGCAAGAGAGATTGAAAAATTAGCAAAGCCTTCGCCGGGAATCGAACCGCGGACCTCTGGAATACGCGCCCAGCGTGCAGAACAACTACACCACGAAAGCATGCCAAGAAGGCGGGAGAAATACCTTATAAAGTACTCCGAAGAAAAGTAGCGCTAGTCCGTACAATTACTTCTTTTTCCGACCAGCATTTTTAAACAACATTCAAGCAGTTAATTTAATCATTTGCTTATTACCGTCAATGGCTTGCATAAAATTGATGACATACCTAACTCGAAACCTGAACTCAAAATTTGAGAACTGAAACTTTTTCAAACTTAAATCCAAACCTTCCATATTGTATAACTGCGCACTTTTGCCTATCTTCCTGCAACGACACTATTTCGCTGTGCTCTCTGCCTGATATATATTAAGTCTAATAATAAGACTGATATATATTAAGTCTAATAATAAGTCTAATAATATATTAAGTCTAATAATCTGCCTGATATATATATCTCTGCCTGATATTATTATCTCTGTCTGATAATATTTTTGTAAGAGTAAAAATGTAAATTTTTTTAATAGGCACTATTAGAGAGCCAAGTGAATTGTGCTTGGGTGTGATTGCTAATTCCAATGTGAATTAAAATAAAAATTGGAATTTATTCCGCCTCTACTGCCAAGTTTCCTAATCATTACGGAATCAACATTTTAGCATTCTACGCAATCATAATTCTTCCTCTTCAATATGGATCTACTTTCTATGAATTCTTCGTACTACGCAATCAACATTGCTACGCCTGTCTTTCTTTCTTTTATTATATATATCTATATTAATAATAAATATTGCAATTTCTTCCGAGGTTAAACAATTTACAAATACGATTTACATAAAATTCAAATTACGTTCAGGTTTAAGGAATGCATTACTTACGTAACTAGGGACTTAATGTATGATGCTATGACCATTACAAAGAGCACTAGGATATTTAGTTCCATTCAAATATCTGAATTATTCTGGTATATTTAATAGCGTTTTAAGTTAGGCATTTTAGAACCTGGGTATTCTTTTCTATCATATAGTATTTTTGTTTCAGATTAATACCCATTTTTTTAAGTTCTCATGTTGCGTTTGAAGGAAAATTGAACAACGCACTTCATTTTTTAAATTATTGCGTACAAAACCTTCGTAAAAAATTTATATGAACTAGAAGAACGTCTCAAAACGTTTAACTGAGTTATTCACCGAAACAAATTTTAAAACTGCTTCTTCGAATTACGCATTACATCGCACAGCAACATGGGCTCAAACAGAAAAATGGCCTTAAATATTAAAAGTGTATCTAAACAAAATCTGCCATTCGAGTCACGGCAATTAATCTGATGTTACGATAGATTTAACTCAAGAAAGTTTTGAACAATTTTAAACCACAGTTTCTATCTCGTAAAACCCCTCACTTACATTAAATCCTCGATTAATTTAATTGATTAATCTCAATTGTCAATATTTTGAGAAAGTTCAAATATGTAATTAACCTTCAGATAAAAGTGGCACACTATAAACTGCACATCTTAACAAGCTTCTGCCTTCCTCCTTTTCCATCCTATTTATATAACCAGGGAATGGAAACTGGTGTTGAAAAATAAAGCATTAGTATTCTTTGAGCTAAATTAGTGCAATTTGACATGTCTATAATGCAGTCAGTTACAATTCCAAGTCGCATCGATAATTTAATAAAAACGAGGGTCCAGGATTTCTTTTTCAGTAAAAACACGAATATTTAAAGACTAATTTTCACGACACAAAAACTGGAAAGATTTTAATCCGCTTGCCAAATCCATATACTTCAATTCTCCCCCTCCCCCAGGGTTTAAAGCGCCCGGGGATAACTGAAGAATTTGCGCCCCTTTCTGTGTGCCAAGAATGGAAAACATTTCATTAAAAAATTTCGTAGCATCAATTAGGCGCCCCTTGGATGTTGCGCGCAGGGACAGATGTTCCCCCTTGCCCCACTTTAGCTATGCCACTGCCCTTCCCCTAAAGAAGATATAATTTTAAAATATTTTAAGCGTGTTCTACTGTGACAGATATATGAATTATCAGAGAAGTAATCATTTCTTTCTGCTTTGGATTGCTGAAGAAGGAATGAGCTTTCCCATGGATTCTACTATGGATTTTTTCCTGCGCAGAGCGAAACTGCAAGCTAATTTCCTCAACTTCCTTAAGGATACTCCACCCTTTCAGAACTACCTTAAGTCCGTGAGAACTTTTAAGTGCACGAATGGACGAAATACTAGCGTCCGTATTAAAAGTCGTTTCTCCCTTTAAATGTCACGTTCTGTTCGAAAATGCTACGTTTTTATTTCACGTAATATAAATATTTTTGCGGATGAAATATATTTTAAAAAAATTGCAAGACGATATAAACAGATTAATTAAAATAATATATGTTGCTTATAACTGGACTCTGCCCAACAGATAATGTTTAGCTAAGTTTTAAATCAACTCAGATATCACTAAGAAATAACCTCGACACGTTCCTAAATTTTAATTATTTAAAAATTTTTCTTTTGTTTTCGCAGCTTTAAATCTTTTCTTCTCTTTTAAATATTTTTCGAACTTGAAAATATGTTTTGAGGCAACAAAATTGCTTTTTTAAGTATATGATAAATTTTTAACATTCAGTTCGATAAATCATTTACAGCAGAGGGATGTTGATAGTTAAGCTCCATCTACTAGTACCATGGTGGAGAAAGTGAATAGCTAATTTAATGGTAAAACTATTTAAATTCCCCTTCTTTTAATAACACTTTCAATTCAAAAATTAGTATGTATTAAACACTTCGTGTTGATTACAGTTTATCTATATGCTTTCAAGTCCACGTTAATTTTCTTCTACTCTTTAGCATTTAATTTTTTCACATGCTGTCATCCAGTTGTACAACTAATGCAATCAATATACACATTAACTACATTTAAAAAAAATTGTACGGAAATCATTTCTTTACAAGAGATTACAAAACTCTCAGACTACAAAATCTTGGCAGAAAGGTATTTAAGTGTTGCAAATAAAATTTCTTTTTCGATACTAAACTATCGCCAGAATGATATAACTCAAAGTGAAAAACAGTCATCACACGAACAAAATATCTCAACGATAATAAAAGCATCACTATTACCTTACATGCACCAAGAGAACCTAACGTTTTCTGTACAATGTGCAAGTAACATTTCTTCAAAAATTTGTGCCGTTAAAAAAAAGGGGGAAAAGATAAAAAAATTGTAATAGGCCACTTCTTTGCTGTACATCTTCAGTTACAATAACTTATTTTAATTTATAAACTATGCAAACATTTTTGAAAAAATATATTATGTAATTTATACAATATCTTCGTCGGATTTCATTTAAAACGTAACTGTTAGGAATACCTAAAAAAAGTAATAAAGAAGGCCATTTCCATTCTCATATTTAATGGTACACTAATGAATACATGTTTCTTTTTTAGAGCCCACCCGTATCTTCTTACATCCCACTATCTAAATATCATGATGAATGAATCAATAGCTTCTCGTTCCTTGTGTAGATGTTACATTTGATGGCTTTTAAATCAGAGAGCTTTCAATTCGTATGCTTGGAATTTGCAGTTGAGAGAAAAGACTGAGAACTGGTGCATGACATTTTATGGAATATTCAGCGACAAATAATATACAAGGACAAAAATGTATACTTACCATTCCGAGTTCTCTTTTTTTAGTGTTGGAGATGTCGGATGATTTGGTGATTTCGGCCCGGAATGCTCCCGGAGTTTTACCGGATTCATCTTCTGCCAAGACATCCATTAAATATGCTATGTAACTAGTAGCTAATCGTAAAATTTTGATTTTGGACAATTTAGTGTCGGGAGGAACATAAGGGATGCAACCCCTCAATTCAGAAAAAGCATTGTTAATAGACAATGTTCGTCGGCGCTCTTTTCTGTTAGCCGTCACTCTTCTTTTGACGCAACGGACTGGCTCGACCCGCTCCGGTCGTGTAGTCGTCCGAGTGTCGGGAGAACTTACGAGGGGGGAGCTGATATCCGAACCGTCCGTGGAGAAAGCAGGCCACACGTAAAAAGTCTCCCCTCCAGGCCCGCACGTGTAATAGGGTGGATAGACGGTCTCCGAGATTTCGTGAGCAGGCTGAGACGGGCTCTTCAAGAAACTCATGGCCTAGTCGTGAATTGAGCTCTCATTCTGGGACGTTAATAAGATCCAGAGCACTCTCGGACAAAGGGGGAAAAGGAGACACGTGGCTGAGATGATGGAAGGGGGGTGCGAGCCAATCAAACAGCGTCGCAGCTACTCGATAAAGAAAAACCCTCATCCCGAGGTGGATGTGGCTAAGATGAACAACACGCCCATCTTCCTTCTCCGTTACATCACTTTTTGAAACACAGGCGCGGGATAACAATGCCTCCGAACTGCTGGAGCGAGCATCAGGCGGTTCATAAAAGAGAAAGCGCACCAAAAGAGAGGATTATTATTGCGATTTAACCGCGCAAAAAATTTAAAGACAGCATTCACAGGGAATTAGAAACTGATGAAACGTGAATTTGCTTCATGTCTTACAAAATTTAATCATTTAATTTTATCTGTCTTTTCATAAGAAATTATGAGTGCCGAAGAACTTCAGTTTATTCAAAAGATCAGACGACCCGATGCCAAATTAACTGATAACGAGGAAGGCACGCTTGCTCGTTACATTTTATAAACATAAATGAATCTCCGCTGTTAAAAGCTAAGGAGGCAAAGAAGCGCATTAAAAAAGTAACACTTATTTGTACTTATCTGTCACTCACCGAATAGATAAAATTAATGTAAACTGACTCCACTAATCAGACATACTAAACGTTAAAGCAGTTCTTTCTTTCTGTTCGGTTCGAAGATGTTTTTTAGAACACCATTTATTTTCTTTTCCTTATTTTTCCCCTTCTCATAAATACATCATCCTCATCTTGCTTTCTTTGGAATATCAGAGAAATAAGTCGTAACAGTTTTATAAAAGAAAATTCTTCTTAATGCAACTGCACATGAATCTAACGAAATTATTGCTTTTGAACTCTTTTGAACTTAGCAGAATATCGAGTTTCTATGTAGGCTAGTGATAGATGATCGTTTAGCGATTCAGTCTCATCTGCAAAAATTTTTCACTTATTTTCTCTTTGAAATACAAAAGTTAAAAGGGAATATTTTTACCAGTTTTAATTTATAAAATAATGCAAAAATAATGTATTAGTTTCGCTAAAATTAAACAGTTAAATAACTTAAATGCAATGCGGCACTTACGTATTATTTTTAATCGCACATTTCTAGTTCCGCTGCATAAATATTTATTTCGTGCAGAAACTATCTTCAAATTAACTCGGAGTTTATCTTCTTAATTTTTTATGCATATTTTTATAGTATCGAAATCAAAATAAGTTTAGAATGAAAACTGAAAGGATATCGAGCTTTCTCTGAATTTAAGAGTTTTGGGTCATTTTCCCCCATTTATATAATGCATTAATATGGGTCTAGCTTCAATAATTTTCAGCATTTGACAGAAATCACTATTCCAGCTAGAGCATGAAATGGAAGAGAATAGGATAAATGAATAACTAAATGAAAGGGCATTTTAGCAGCAAATTGAAAACATACTTAAAACGCTCACACAACGAACCATAAGAATTTTAGAAAGATTCATTTGCGGGCCTAATAATCAGATTAAATTTAACAGAATATCCTGTGTTAAAATCTCATCATAAAATTCTATTTTTTTTCCATGTGCATTTACGATTCAAAATTATTCAAGTAACTGAAATTCAACTAGAGCGCATATGTGTCCTGTATAGAAAAAAAAATCATTTTTTCTTTGTTCCTCGAAAATGATTAGTTACAACTTTTCAAAAAGATTCTTTCAAATATCATCGTTAAAATTTAAAATTTTCTTAATTCTTTTCCGCATCCAAAATGTAGCTAAATTTTGAAGAAACGGCATTAATATTTAATAATTTTAATGGGTTATTTTATTTCTCAGATATATATAATGAACTTATCATCGAAAAATTTCGCTTATAGATAGATACACGATACCAAATATTTATTTGAAATATCTGAATGAGAAATGTATTTCATTATCTTAAAGGAACTAAAATGCTGTTCAAAATATTTATCTTCAGTTTTTTTTCTGTGTTCATGTCTTCTTATTAATTTTCTCACTTCCTATTTATTTTATTCCTTCGTTGAATATCTCGTGATAAATTTATCATTTATTTTTTTAGTTTGTTATTTAATTGACCCTTAATATAAATGTTGTATGAATATTAATCAATATAAATTTGTGTATGAATGTAATATGTTTTATATTTTACTTAACTATTTATTATCCATTCTTTTATTTATATCTTGAAGAAGAAGGTATATTGTTTTTATTTAACATAAAAATGCTACATTAACAAAATAAAATCCGTTAGAAACAATAATGGCTGGATAACTGACAGACGAGAAGAATGGAATGGATTTAAAGGTAACCCATGGCAAGTATTAAATCTGCGCGAAACTTAGAATCTGATTCTCCGCGCCGTCATATGTTGTTATTCGACAAAGTATAAGATCTTTAATTGAATTTAATTTAATCACCCAACCAGTGGCCGGGTGGCTCATTTCTACTCAGATTCGAACATGCTTCGTGGTTGGTTTCCGTAGTTTTCCATATGTGTAACGTGAATAAGAGCCAGTCTCTTTTAAAATGTCCGGCCCTCCAGCGGCCAAGCGGTAAAGTCGCTGAACACTGGTAGTTCGGTCTGAGGTTCGAATCCCGCGAACGGGCTGGCTGCATGGGTGTTTTTGTGGTTTTCCCCATGTGTAAAGCGTATACGAGCCAATTTCCCTTAAAAGTCCTCCCCTTAGACAGATATCCCCAGTGTGCTTTGCCATAATTAAATACACCACACCACACCCTTTAAAATGTCCTCCATAAAAGTATCCCTGTCCTTAGGCAAATAGCCCTCGTACACTTTGCCATATTCCAATAACCTTTTAATTTGATCAGTGCGTTTTCAGTTAACAAAATGATTCATTAGCAATGTTTCCAGCGTTCAAAACAAAAGACCTTTAGGTTACTTTCCACGCTTTCCCACACGTAACTAGTTCTCACAGTATTGCCATTCAACAAAGTATAAGATCTTAAACTCGTGATTAAAATTTAATCAGTCTGCCATTAATAAATTGAATCATATAGAAGCAATAAATGCACTTCTTTATAATTTCTATTATTATTTTGCTTTTTTAATACATGCAATCTATCTCACTGATTTAAATTAAAATACGTTTAGTTTATGAAATATCCAGTCTATAAATTTAATGAACATTTGAAGCTTTGTAGTAATTAATAAAAGATATTTTTAATGCTGCGCATTTTAAAACTGCTACAGAATAATTTTTCCTTTTAATTTTTATGTTGTTTAACATTTATTTTTTGTTTAATTTATAATGGTAAACTGCTGTTGAAGTGGTTGACTTTAACGAAATTTTCAGATGTCAATTTATCATTGTTATTATTTTTTTTTATGAATTTATTTTTGCTAAACCGTATTAACCGTATTAGTCGTCGATAAAACTCCGGTGCTTTTAATTTTTAGAAATTAAGCCCTGAATGTGAAAACAGTAAAATATTACGTTACTTGTGGAGTACTATGTGTATTGATTCGGCAAAAATTTTCTACTCCTATCCATAAGTATATAGTCTTAATATTAGTACGTAGAAAGTAAGAGAATTATGTGTCTCATTATTTTTATTAAACATTCTACATTCTAAATTTGTGCATTGTCACTGTGAATTTAATGAAAATCCGCAAAATATTATTTCATAAGAATTTCGGAGACCTAAAACTCGGACACTTATCCCGTGCAAAGTAATTCCATGATATCATGTGTAGGTATTTCTTTGAAGAATAATATTCTTCACCTCAGATTCTCTTCTCTTTTTTTTAAACACTGGATTGCCTACTTTTCGATTTTCTATATTAACGTTTTCCCAAAAGGTATATCCGCTTACATAAAAGTATTAGTACGATTAATCTTAGGAAAGCGAAGACTTAAATGGTCCTTCAGAGGGTGTTTACACATTTGTTAGAATGATTTCGGGGCCCTTTAATTAACGTTTAAAATGTAAAGATACTTTTTTTTTAATGTTCAGTCTGATAGCTTTTTTTCTGGACTGATTTTAATGGTAGAAGGGCTTTTCGTAAAATTTCCAGGGGTATTGATTTTCATTCCTCTTCCGCTACTTTCCAGAGTCCATCAATCGGGATGATTTTGATGTAGAGAAAAAGCTTTTTTCAAGAAATTAACGGCACAAAAATCTGTAGCTGAAACGTCAGGAAACCTCACTGAAATACGTTGAAAAGGATATATGCAATATATCTATCAGTCTTCTCTTTTTTCAAGGAATGCAGTGATACTTTTCGAAATATGACTTGTTGCTTTATCTTTATGAAGTCCCACTCCGTGAAAGCCATTGGAATAAAGAAATGGAATTCCTTCTGTAAATAACGAAAGTAAAACTTTCTCTTGCTAGTATATTGAGTTGATTTTAACCTTTTTTTTCCCATTCTTCTTATTTTTAATTTTCCAGTGTACGCGATTCCTGCGACAATCATAAGCCCCTTACTGAAACTTTCTTTGCTTTGACGGGATAAGTTTATACATTTTTTTCTCTTTGTTTTCGATAATAAATAGACATTTTTTTTGTTTCAGTCATTTGGGTAAACCCATGTTTCATCAAGGGTGACAATGTATTTTCATTTATTTCCTGGGAAGTAGTTTTCATGAAGGGTTCTACAAATTTATCTGTTTTGCACTACATGTGTGAAAATTATGTTTTTAAGTTTTTTAAGTTGATAATCTTGATTTATTATTTTAGTTACTTTTGCTACAGATATATTTAAAGACTTTGCAATTAATTTCTGCATCGGCGGATTTTCTCTTATTACCGTCAATTTAACTTAAATTTGACTAAGATGAATTAAGAATATTACGTACCATTTCTCAATTCGTTTTCCATGTCGAAGTAATGATTGGTGGTTTTTCCCTTTCCAATTAATAATGTTGTTTATTTTGCAAGTAAAAATTTTAACAACAAGTATTTCACACAACTTCTTGAATTATAGGAATTTTCTCTTTGGAAAGGAAACAGGAATATTTCATTACAAAAACTTGCAAAATCCACCATTTGA